TTTTTAAAATATATATTATATATATATGTATATATGAAAAATATATCAAAAATACATGTTGGTACTCAAATGAAAGCTCTTGATGAGTGTAACATCGGGATGAGCTTATATTTTCATAAATGTCAATATTTACAATGCAATTTAACAAAATTCATTATTTAATAATGCAAAATTTTTATATTTCACAATATTAAGTGTTATTTATTTATTTAATTAAATGAAATATTTTAACTTAATAAAAAAGTTTAAAAAAATAATTATAGCGGGTCTATTGAAACATTTATCGAATAATTAGATTGGTAATGGAATTGTGAAGGTAATTTAACGGAAATTGATGTAAATGTTGTGAGAGTGTATCGAGTATTTCAATTTGTGGCCCTTTTTGATGTAAGGCTTTATCAAGCAAAGTTCCCCTCAGTGTACTGAGAGATTGTACACACAGCAAAGTGGAACACTAAATCATATGATGTTAAATTAGATTTTTTTTTCATTTTAGCGAGGCTAGAAAAATAGCAAGTAAATTTTTCATTTTGTTTTTTTGGCCTCACATGTTTTCAGTGACTAGTTCTCCGGAATAGGCTTCTATACGGTGGAATAGACGGCCAAGATGTAGATCGAGATGCAGACAAGCTACACAGGGGTCGGTAATTCTATCAGAAGCCAATCACATCCGGTTGAGGGCTGTCTCTGGACCTGGAAAATCGACCAGACGGACTCATGAATCTGAGAGATCGTAAAAAGTTTAAAGAAAGTACCGTTCTTATCCAAGGAAAATTTATTTTTCATTATTAGGTTTACATTTTTAGATTTATTATTTAAATTGGTAATTTTTTGGATTATTTATGGGCTAAAAATTGGGAAAATTATTTTTTTATAGAATTTTAGAAGTAAAAAATTGAAAAATTAATTATTTTATTAAATTTAAGAGTCAAAAATTCTAAAACTAATTTTTTATTTTCAATTTTTGAGTAATAAAAATAAAACAATAGATTCTTTTATTAAAATTGATGACAAAAATTAAGAAAAATAATTTATTAATTAATTTTTTTATTTCTAAAGTTAAAAATTGATTTTTTCATTTAATTTTTTAATTGAATTTTAGAGCCAAAAATTATGAAATTAATTTTATTTTTTATCTATAGAGTTGAAAATTTAGAAAATATTTTTTTGCAATCCTAAAAAATTCTTGTAAAAATTTCCCGAATTTTTTTTAAATTCTAAAACATTTTTTTTCACTTTATTGCCCTAGGAAATTTTTTTTAAAATTTTGTCCCATATACAAAAAAAAATTTTCCTCGGGAAAATACAATGATTACCTTCGAGCACAAATTTAAAAAAACAAATCCTTCTTTCTCCCATATATTCACGAAAGAACAATCATGATTACATATTATTATTTATACAATTACTTTAATCTTTGTCTCTATCTCCCATTTATTTGATTCGGTATTCCGACGCATAAAGCTCCGCGTAATGAATAGCCGAAATAATCTTTCACGGAAAAAGGTGGCAAGCATCATAATCGCGAAAAACAAAAAGTAGCATTTCATTTTAGCAATAATTTAAAAGTTATCGCGTCAACTCGCCAAATTTATACTCTAATAAAGCTTTTTTGTCTGTCCTTACTATTTTTTTACTATTCTTTTACGTCCGTCCGAAAAAAGCGTAATGATAATGATAATAATAGACGAAACAAGGGCTAAAAATAATGCAAACAAAATAATCCTTTAGAATTATATGGCATTGTTCCGTCCATATTTAGTCCCTTTGCTGTTTATAAAACGCAACACTTGATAAATTACTGATTTTTTTTTATTATCTAGACTCTTATAAAAATGCACTGTACTTTCTTAAATATTGACATTTTTAGAGATATAAGGTCATCCCGATGTTACACTCATCAAGAGCTTTCATTTGAGTAGCCACATGCATTTTTCATGTATACATATATATAACATATATTTTGAAGATATAAGCTCATCCTGATGTTACACTCATCAAGAGCTTTCATTTGAGTACCCACATCAATTTTTGATATATTTTTCATATATACATATATATAATATATATATAAATATATAAAATATATGAAAAATTCATGCGGGTATTCAAATAAAAGGTCTCGATGAGAGTAACATCAGGATGAGCTTATACCTTTAAAAATGTCAATACTTCACAAGATACAGGGTCATTTCTTATGTAATAATTATTTTTGCAAAAATTTCGAAGCTCTTTTCAATAATTCATCTTGAGCAATATAAAATATATAATTTTATCACGATAAAATTTTTTTAAATTAACACAAGTAAAATTTAACTAAGAATCTTAATTTACTCGTTTTTCTTTCCATCTCATTAATTAAAACTTCTATATAAATACATATATATTCGCTAAAATAATACTCACCACCTTGAGGGAAAAACTGTGAGTAAATACATTTGAAAGTGTCCTCTCTGACCACGCCTGTAGGACACACTGCTTTAAAGCCACGGTATATCCTTTTCAATTCCGCTTCAGTAAATCTAGTTGCCCTGCAGAGACTTGCTAACGAGTCTGGTCTATAGCGTGGTATTTGTTCTTCCTCGTATTCAGAATCTGAATTTAAAATTTTCATAATTTTTATTTCAATTATATAAAATAAAATTACTAAAAAAACAAAAAAAAAAAAAAAAAAAATTTGTTTGTATATTAAATATATTATAACAAGCTTAATAATTATAATTAAAGTACATTTGGATAATAATTGGCATTAACATTCAAATCAACTGTCGTAATGATTCATCGTTTGCGATGCTAATTATTTATTCCTCGCCAAAAATGGTAATGCGTTGCTGGTATATGAACTAGTTCGTTTAATGTCAGTATAATGAAGGATGAGCAACAAAAAAAAACTGTGTAAGTGATTATTAATGTTAAAAAAAAAAAGATGAAGTAGATACAATCTATAATAGAATGACAAACGTGTTAAATGTAATCGGGTTGTTGTAGAAAAAAAATGAACTGACTGTCATGCAACATACAATCCTTGTGTATGTTTTACGGGTGGAAAACGAGTGGTGTAACACGCTGACGGTAAATAACTCTTAACATGACTAGGTACTTTATCTATTACTTTTACATTAGAGTTACAATGCTATAAAAAGCTTTTGAGTTATTGTATTATTAGTTAAGTGCGTTGTAAATGTCTTTACAATAATAACTAGCAACTTTGCAGTCACTACGTGACTGCCGTAGTGAGCTATAAATAAATAAAATTTTGGGTTATTAAATAATGATTTTTATTAAATTGTAATGTACTTTCTTAAATATTGACCTTTTTAAAGATATAAGCTCATCCTGATGTTACACTTATCAAGTAGCTTTC